TTTCCTAGACCTTCCATTTCTTTTTCTTGTATTACTGAGTCAGCGAGGACTTCCAGTTGGATGCTGACTGGCAGTGGTGACCAGGGGTGGTTCTTGTTGATTCTTAAAGCGAACGGTACTGAGGTTTTACCTTTAGGGTGATGTTTGTTCTGGGCTTCTCGTAGACTAACTTTATCCTCCTGGTCACAAAGTTTATTTTCTTAACAGTTCATAAGACTCTCAAATCAATGGGTATTGAATTCTGTCAAGTACGTTTTCCTCAGCTACTGGGTTAATGTTCCTCTTTGGTCCACTACTGTGTAAGTCACGTTAAAAAACATTTTTTTAACAGAGATTTTTGCTATAGGGCATGTGCACTTGCCAGAGAGACAGACAGAAAACAAGAAATCACACCCCCCCCCCCCGGGGGAGGTGGGATGGCCACACTGCAATCCGTTCTCCTCCATTCTCTTCTCCAGATTTTGGGCACACACACGTGCACATGTACATGCACCCAGCACGTCTAATTTTGATTGAGTAGTCAAAGTAAATGTCAGCTTGCACAGGGTCAAAGGAAACGTGAACAGCATGCCCCACACATTTACGCCAGTCATAGCTCCAGTCCATAATGGGCCTAAAACACTCTGTAAGAACTTACAAAGAACACAGCATTTTTCTATTAAAGAGCTATTTGATTTATGGGCCAGCTGGTAGCATGGTATGAAGATGGCTGGAACCCACAGGCCCACTGCACAGTTGAGACTGGGACCTGATGACCTGAAAAACATGGGGGGCATATGTGTATGTGCCCCGAATCCCAACAGGAGGGGGAAATGGAGAAAAGACTGTAATGTGATTACTCCCCATGGTGGGTGCTTTCTCACTTTCTCCTGTTTCTCTCTGACAAGCACATGCACCCTCTAGCAAATAAAAACAAAAACAAACTACTATCTTGCATTTAATTAATTATTTCCTTATTTTTAATTGCCAGAGGGTGCCACAGAGACAGCGAGAGAGCAAAGGAGAGGGAGAAAGCAACCTTCCCCAGTAAGGCTTGGCCATGCCGCACTCCCTTCTCTCTCTCCATCCTTTGGGATTTGGAACACGCATGCACATGCATCCAGCATGTTTTTCTTTGTACTGGGTCTGGGATTTAAACTGCGGTTGGCCATGGGGATCCACAAGACCTCCAAGTTGGCCCTAGATCTACTGTTTTTTTTTTTTAAATTTTCAAATTTTAAAGGAGGTCTACCCTGACCTTTTTTGCTTTTAGTTTAAAATTTAAGTTTGTGACTATGCTACAGTTATTTTTATAGAGTTCACAAGCAAATCTCATTAACGTTTGAACCACAGGTTAACTGAAAAGGACCCACAATGCTCAAAGGTTTATACCAACATCAAAGAACGTACAAGGAAATGACTTACCGTAAGTGATCAACAGAAGGACAAACGGAATGTTTTTAAATAGGTTCCTTATTGATTTCTTATAGGAGTACTCTTCGGGGGAGCTGTTTTGAAGAATTGCTTGAGCCTGACTTGGTGGATATTTAGGTTTCTCTTTGAATGCTGGGAACACACATGAACATGATTATTTATAATTAATAAGTAATATGTTGTTATTAATATATGTGATATATAATTAATAATATATTTTATTATATATTTAATTATATATTTTTAGTGAGAAGAAAGAATTCCATTTAAGTTTAAAGAGGTAATGAAAAGCTTTTATAGTGAGGGCTTTCATTTTTACTGTTTTTTTTTTTTAAAGAATCATTTTATTTAACTTTAATAAGTAATTATTTAAGTTTGACCAGAGAGGGATAAAATGAGAGAAAGAAAGACAGAGAGAGAGAGACAGACAGGGAAAGTGAGACAGTGAGCCACCAGGTCTGGGACTCAACTACGGTTGACCAGGTGGGAGTCCAGAATTCTTAACCACCACACCACCTGCTGGCCCCACTTTTACTGATTTCTAAGTGAAGCATAATTTGGCATTATCTTCTCAGCCCTCTGATTTGTCCAGTTCATGTAAGTGAGTTGAAAAACCATCGATAATAAGCCACAACCTTGCCTACCAATTATTTCATTATTAGTTAAGGAAGATGAATTTCACTCCAAGTATTCAATAATTCTGTTTTTAAATTTGGTTCAATTTGTAATTAGAGGTTAACATCAGATGTGAGCATGCCAATATCCTATGGAACTTTTAGAGAGCTTTTCTGAGTTAGTAACTATTTTCTTCGGAAATTGGATGTCAAGCTTATCACCTGCTCTAGTTGCACCTCTGGAGCTGAAAAGGTCGGGGTGAATTATACGAGCAGAGCTGGGTCTTCCTTGCTCACTCGCTGGTGCTACACGTAGAGGACAGGTAGAGCTAAGAGACTCACACAAGGGTGGCAGAGGGTGTCTGACACGGTAAGTTTTAGCATCGTCCATTTCTAGTTAGAGATTTCTCGGCCTCCTCAGACATCTGGAGACCACCTCTCTGCAGGGCAGAGAAGGAACTGTGGCTCCCCATAATGGACGGCTGGGTAAAGACTTCAATAGAATTAGGCTAAGGAGAAATTGAGATGAATTGATAGAAGAGTTAAACTGTTAAAATTTGGTATGTTGAAATTTAACACCTAATCTTTGTATTGATTCAAAATTCTTAATTTTTTTTTTGAGAGGTTTTTTGCTATAGGGTGCGTGTGCTCGCCAGAAAACACAGAGAGAGAGACACACACAGAAAGCGAGAAATCACCCCCCAGGGGAGATGGCCACACCTCAATCTCTTCTCTTCCATTTTCCTCTCAGGATCTTGGGCACGCACGCACATGTGCCCAGCATGAGTTTAAGCCACCAGGTCTGGGACTTGAACTGTGGTTGACTACATGGGAGGCCAGCGACATAGCCATTATATCATCTGCTAGTCCTCTCAAAATTCTTAAATATTGACTCAAAAATTTTAGAAGGAAAATGGAGGTCCTCACAAAATGGAAAGTGCATATTATGAGAAAAGTATGCATGGATTTGACATTCTTTTGCACTAACCAGACTTGTACTTTAATTTCATATTTTTCACTTAATTTTTTTTTTTGCCAGAGGACTCATATACTTGCCAGACAGAGAGAGAGCAAAAGGGAGGAAAAGGCACCCCTCCAATGGAGCATGGTCATGCCATAATCTCTTCTCCTCCATTTCTCCCTCTTTTTGGGATTTTGAGCACACACACACACATACACCCCGCTGACAAATTTTACAAGCTGCTGGGTCTGGGACTCAAACATGTGAGATTCAGCTCTCTTTAACCACGGGGCCACAAGCTGGCCATTCTTTCACTTTTGGAAGTCCCTTATATTTCACTGACTCTAAGATATTTGGTGCTTTGCACTCAGTAACCTCGCCAGGAATTAATAGATTTTTACATAACCATGTCTTGATTACCACAAATATTAGATTTCATTGATTACTAACAGCATCTCAATTTCAGAGATTTCATGAAAAAAGTACACCTTAGAATCAATGAAAGAGAGTAAATTAAAAAAGAGTAGATTCACAAAAAATAATATTTTTTAGAGTAGAATTTCTTTTCTTAATACTGGCTATTTCTTTCTTCCAATAAAGAAGGTCTGTGTTGTAGTTTGAAAGTGGGTTGGGGGCCAGCAGGTGGCATGGAGGTTGGGGTGACTAGATCCACATGGCTGGATGTGTGTCAGAGTCCCAGACCTGGTGGCTTGAAAATAAGACTGGGTGTGTGTATGTGTGCCATAAAAGAAAAAGAAAGAAAGAAAGGGAAAGGAAAGGAAAAGAAAAGAAAAAAGGAAAGAAAGGAAAAGGAAAGAAAAAGAAAAGTGGGTTGGGATGGGGGAATAGAGGGATGTTGATTAATGGAACCAAAATTACAGATTAATAAGAGGAACACTTTCTAGTGTTATAAAATGCTGTAGAAAGAATAGAATGAACTCCTTACTACATATCTCAAAGTAACTAGGAAAGAGGATTTTGAATGTCCCCAACATAAAGTAACAGTGAATAGTTCTACTAATCACACTGATTTAATCATCACATATTATATTCTTATACTGAAAAAACACATCAAATCGCACAAATATATACATTATACATTAATTAACTTTTTAATGTAATTAAGACTTAAAGAAAAAAGAAGGTGGGTTAGATCTCTTGGGACTGTCTGACAACTGGAATCATTCGGAAATTTAAAAATAATACAGATTTTGAGATTCTAGCTAAGACTCAATGAATCATAACTTCCAGAATGAACCTGAGAATCTGTATTAAACACAAAACTTTAAAATGCTATCAATAGCCAACCAGATTTGAGTCACTGGGGAAAGAAGTGAACCTTACGACTTCCATGAAATACTATAATTCTCTCATTCTTCTGTTTGTTACTCAAAATTTAAAATGTTAAAGTTCTTTGCTGACAAAACATTTTGACAGGACTCAAACTTACCAAACTAAAACATACTCTATTTTTACAAATTTCACTACTAATTTAAAATGCGCTGTAGTTCATAAATATTTACTTTTTAACATCCTTACATTGGAGCACTGATAGAAAATGTTAAAGTTGTAACTCCTTTTCTTCCTTTCACCCTGTCTGATCTTTACACTGTTAGGATGTCCGCTGCTTTTCCTTAAAGTCTCTTTGTATCCTAGTTAGAAAGGAGATACCACTTAGTATTAAGGTGGATAATACAGAACTCACACCATAGTAAAACAATGTTTCAGAATGGAAAAACTATGTTTATGAAGTAGTCAGGAGTATTTATTGAGTCTAAAATCTTTCACTTAAGTTCTTATTCTTATTTACCACTGTAAAATAAATCTAAATGGCCCAAATCTAAATTCAAATGCAAAAACAGAAACATTTCTTACCAATCTTTAACTCCAGTAGATTTATTTTCTGAATACAAATGTTACCTTTTAGTTTCAGGTGGTTAAACAATCTTTTGACAAAATCAAGTCTGTTCTACTGGCTACATGCCTTAGTAAACTCAGACTTAAAAAAAAAAAAAAAAGCTACTGGTCTATGACCTTGTTTCCAATGAACTACTACTCTCTTCTCTACTTTTTTTAAGTTTTTCCCTTAGGGCGCCTGCGCTTTCTGGAGAGAGACAAAGAGAGGGAAAGTGAGAAATCACCCCCTCTAAGAGAGCATGGCCATGCCATAATCCCTTCTCCTCTAGTCTCCTCTCATGACTTTGGGCATGCACACACATGTACCAAGCATGATTTTCGAGTTGCTGGGTCCAGGATTCGATAGTGGTTGGCTATGCGGGCGTCCAGCACCTTAACCACCACACTAGTTGCTGGCTCCTGGATTGCTACTTTCAAAAGATGAACCTGGCTTTTTCTTTGTCCCTTGAAACTGAAAATCAATAACCTGTTCCTATCTGTTCTTTTCCTCACCAAAAACTTCTACCCATAAAATATTGAAGAGGTTATGCTCCATCTTTGGCTTTCAGCATATTAAGTACCCAAAGGATTCCTGGTGCCACATTCGAACTTTCCTCCCAAGATAATCTACTGCTGTTTAGGGCCCTTGTACTTTTGCAATCAGATTATAACATTATCTTTTGACTTCATTATTTGTCCTTGTGTGAGTCAAGTAGATATCACAGATACTGCCTTACTGTTAAAATAAAAAATACATAGGCTTGAATCCTAGCTCTGCCTTATCTCACTGGATGACTTTAAAGAAGTGAATTCCCACCTCTTGGTTTTATCTTTCTCACCCATAAAACAGAACTATTAATAACAAGTTGTTATAAGCATTACATAATATATGTAAAAAAATTATTTTCTGAGTGTTACACAAAATATATTGCTTATTTGTTTTAAAAAATCAGAAACTTAGCCTTAGGAGACTGAAATTCTGGGTAAAATGTATTTCTACTCAAAGTTTACAGCCTAGGAACCAGCAGTTAGCGTAATGGCTATGTCGCTGGACTCCCACGTAGTCGACCGCGGTTCGCGTCCCGGACCCGGTGGCTTAAAACTCACGCCGGGCACGTGTGCGTGCGTGCCCAAGATCCCGAGAGGAGAATGGAGGAGAAGGGATTGCGGCGTGACCATCCCCCCTGGGGGGTGATTTCTCGCTTTCTGTCTCTATGTCTCTGTCTGTCTGGCGAGCGCACGCGCCCTACAGTGAAAATCTCTAAAAAAAAAAAAAAAAAGTTTACAGCCTAGATATATTGTAGATAACTAAAATATAAGAATCAAAAGTAAAAGTATGCATAGACATTACACACTCCTGTGCTAAGTATATTAACATTAAATGTTTTTATTTAAATGAATCTTGTTTTTTGTGATTCACTTATTTTACTGAATCAGGAATGAATTTTAATGGACACATTTAAGTTAATAATATAGTTTACTGATCTGTCACATAAGAACAGCTTTGAAATATAACATTATCACCAGTTACATGAGAGGAATTTTGAATTAGAACAAAAACTAAGGCTAGGTAAAAATTAAAATAACTTTTTATATTAACATTTTATAGAATGATGTTAGACTGCCTAGGCTTATATTTGACCTTCAGTGTTTACCTTCTGTGACCTCAGACAAATAAGATTTACTCAAATTCTTTTTAAAGAATTATTATTTTTAAATTATTATTATTATTATTATTATTTTGGAGAGGTTTTTGCTATAGCGCGCATGTGCTCGCCAGAAAGACAGAGAGAGATACAAAGACAGAAAGTGAGAAATCATCCCCCAGGGGGATGGCCACGCCACAATCCCTTCTCCTCCGTTCTCCTCCCGGGATCTTGGGCACGCACGCACACGCACCCGGCGTAAGTTTTAAGCCACTGGGTCCGGGACATGAACTGCGGTCGACTATGTGGGAATCCAGCAACCTAGCCATTACGCTAACTGCTGGTTCCCTTACCTACAGATATTTTATATATAAGCTATTCCACATATAATTTCTTACCTATAGAAATTTTATATATAATCTATTACTTGCTCACTTCTTCCAAAAGAGACAAGCAATGGATGATGATTTTTAAAAACAGAAAAAAGGCCAGCTGTGGTGGCACAGGTTCACAATTTTATATGTATTTATATATATGTAAAAGGGAAATCAGAATTTGAGTGAAGCCACATAAGTAATCAAAGAAAAGACAATTTTACACTTTCGAAAGTGTAAAATTGGTAATGGAAGATCATTTATGCTATTTCAAATAGCAAATAAAATGCAGAGATCAGAAATTAGACTTAAGCCTTTTGGCCGGAACCACCATCTTCCAGTAATTAACCAAAATGACAAACACATATATGTTCTCTAGGCCTCTTAGAAAACATGGAGTTGTTCCTTTGGGGACATATATGCAAATCTACAAGAAAGGTGATACTGTAGACATTAAGGGAATGGGTACTGTTCAAAAAGGAATGCCCCACAAATGTTACCATGGCAAAACTGGAAGAGTCTACAATGTTACCCAGCATGCTGTTGGCATTGTTGTGAACCAACAAGTTAAGGGCAAGATTCTTGCCAAGAGAATTAATGTGCGTATTGAGCATATTAAACATTCTAAGAGCAGAGATAGCTTCCTAAAACGTGGGAAGGAAAATGACCAGAAAAAGAAAGAAGCCAAAGAGAAAGGTACCTGGGTTCAACTAAAGCGCCAGCCTGCTCCACCCAGAGAAGCACACTTTGTGAGAACCAATGGAAAGGAGCCTGAGCTACTGGAACCTATTCCCTATGAATTCATGGCATGATGGGTGTTAAAAATAAACTAATCTGTGGTCTATAAAAAAAAAAAAAAAAAGAAATTAGACTTAAGAATTTTTTAAAATACAGATTTCTTGAACAAACTTTGTTAAAATGCTAAAATAGCACAGGAATAACTTGTATTTTTCAGGAGTCTGTGCACCATAAATACGCCACTTTCTAGCTGGAAACATAAGAAACAACCATAAGAGGACAAACAAACCAGAATAGTTTTATGCTTTCTAGAGAACATTTGTTCAGTCATAAGAGAAATTAAATATATGAGCTAATTTCCTATTCCTAGATCCTATCCATCTGCATAGGTCTTTAGTGAAACACTCTAGTCTTCAGCATATATTTCTTTGAAAATCAAAGATTCCCTATCTGGAGATCATAAAATATGAATGTTTTACTACTATTGGGTTGTCTGGAAAGTGATGATGTATTTTTGCATAGAAAAACATGTCATTGGGACCAGCAGTTGGCGTAACGGCTATGTTGCTGGACTCCCACGTAGTCGACCACAGTTCTAGTCCCGGACCCAGTGGCTTAAACTCACGCTGGGCGCGTGTGCGTGCGTGCCCAAGATCCTGAGAGGAGAATGGAGGAGAAGGGATTGCGGCATGGCCATCCCCACTGGGGGGTGATTTCTCGCTTTCTGTCTCTCTGTCTCTCTCTGTCTGTCTGGCGAGCGCACATGCCCTATAGCAAAAACCTCTCCAAAAAAAAAAGAAAAGAAAAACATGTCATGACTTTCCTGACAACCTAGTATTATACCCATGGTAAAAACTAGTATAAAACCCTAAAAACTCCAGGGACCAGCAGTTGGCATAATGGCTATGTCGCTGAACTCCCATGTAGCCAATTGTGGTTCGAATCCTGGACCTGGTGGCTTAAACTCATGCCAGGCGCATGTGTGTGCGTACCCAAGATCCCGAGAGGAGAATGGAGAAGAGATTGTGGCATGGCCATCCTCCCCCGTAGGGTGATTTCTCTCTTTCTGACTCTGTCTTTCTGGTGAGTGTACACACCCTATAGCAAAAATCTCTCAAAAAAAAAAAAAAGAAATCTAAAAACTCCAGCTATAATGCAGTTAACTATAAACTGTAATGTTTAAAAGAAGGCCTGTCAGCTTTATAGTTCCTTTCCTTTTCAAATCAGTTTACATTAGATTGAATGCTTAGAGGAAAATATTACAGTTATGTTAGTAGCTGTAGTATTGATAGGTATGGAAATAAACCTTACCTATCATTTTTCCTGAAACCAAAATTGTTTTCCATTCAAAGTAAACTTAAAAAGCAGACCTTCCTAAAGCTTCTTCCAAACTGGTGATGGCTGCTTGCAGCTGAGCGTGACTGTCTGCTTCAAGAGACAGGCTCAGGTGAGAGGACCCAGTGACAAATGGTGGCAGTCATGCTTTGCTGGAATGGCCTAACAAGCAGACATAGTTGCCAGTTTGAAATTCTGCTCAACAGCTATGCTGCTCAGGATCATTCAGTGGTCAACATCTTCAGATCCAGCTAGTTGTTAAATTGGGGATCCATGGGAGGATTTATCATTAAAAGGCAGATTATAGTCTATCTGCATCATCTCAAAGCATGATGAGAACTTGTTCCTGGCTATGTAGGCATAAGATGCAGATTTGTAGATGACTATGGGAAGAGGATAACATGTTCGAAACCAACAATTATCAAGAAGAAAAGTTAGCACGAAAATAAGTGAGATGAATTAAGTCTTCAGTCCTTTAAAATACTAAAAGAGACATGGCAGACACATCCTGGGGTGACAGTATTCATTACCTGAATAAGATAGTCTGTGGCAAGAGTGAAACATGCAAATGGTATATGAGATATTATCCGTACAAATTTTCAGGGTTAGTTATTTTTGTATTTATGTCATGCATTTATCTAAGACTCAAGGAAAATACTCACCAATAGCTGTTAAAATAAATAAAAGTGTGGCAACAGCTGATGTTCCATAAAACATGGTGCTGATATTACAAGCCAGGAGATTTGTGTTATTCTGTGTGTTCGGCACTAAAACTGGTGGTAGCAAAAAACCAACTGCAGTTCCAAGCTGTAAAATAAATCATCTTGTTAACAGCTATTATCATTAGAGGAAAGAAGTCAATGTTGACAATTAATAAATATAAAGACCATCAGTGTTTGCAAAGGTAATTTGTACATTTTAACATACTATGATCTGATGTCTTTGCTACTATTGTGTTGTTAAAGGGAAGCTGTTCACAAATTTCTTTTGTATTTAACATTTACTAAGTCCCTACTATCTGAGTCGTGATGCCACAAGTTGTGTAAAATATGGTCATTGCCCATTAGATGCTTGCAATTAAAGACAGGAATAATAATATGCAAAATAAAGAGCTGGTTATATAACATAGCAGTAATGCACTCTTGGGATATTAAAGAGCTGGTTATATAACATAGCAGTAATGTATTCTTGGGAAACCAGATTGCACATGGTGACCAGTTTGAATCCCTGAGCTGGTTGACATGAAACGATCCAGGTACGTGTGAGCACCTAAAATCCAATGGGCTGGAGAACTGGAAGAAGGAGATTATGTCGCGGCCAGACCCTGTGTAGTGTGCTGCCTCTTTCTCACACTCACACATGAATGCACATGCACACTATCACCAATAAATGGGGGGAGGGAGAGAATATATAAAATATGGTAAAACAGCCCACAGAATGGGAGAAAATATTTGTAAATCATATATCTGATAAAGAATTCTTATAACTCAACCAAAAGATAAATATTCCGGGGACCAGCAGGTGGCATGGTGGTTTAGTCCCAGACCTGGTGGCTTTCTGTCTCACTTCCTCTCTCTATATATCTCTATCTCTCTCTGATCAAATGAAAAAAAAAAGAAGAAATAATTAAAAATAAATAATTATTTTTTTAAAGGCAAACATTCCAATTAAAAAATAGGCAAAAGACTTGAACAGAATAGACATTTCTCTTAAATAGCCAACAAGCATATGAATAAAATGCTCAATATGATTAGTCATTTGAGAAGTGAGATACCACTTCACATCCATTAGGATGGCTATAAAAGAATAAAAACAATGCAAAACAACGTGTTGGCAAAGATGTGGAGAAATTAGAACTCTTATACACTGCTGGTGGGATTATAAAATGGTATGGCTATTATGAACAACAGTTTGATAATTCCTTAAGAAGTTTAACATAGAATTTTCCATATGACCTATTGGGTCATTGGAAAAGTCATGACATATTTTTCTTTGCTAAAATGTGTCATGACATTTCAGACAACCCAATAGTATAATCTCTACTCTAAGGTATGTATCCAAAAGTCTGAAAACAAATAATTGTACATAAATGTCCACAGCAGTCCTACTCGCAATATCCAAAATGTGGAAATAACCCAATGTCCATCAATAGAAGAGAAGAGAAACAAAATGTGGGCTATTCTTACATAAAATAGTATTTGGCTATAAAAATGAATGAAATACTCCCACAGTGTTACAATATCGATCAATTCTGAAAACATACTAAGTGACAGAAGCCAGAAAAAAAGGGTCACTTACAGTATGATTTCATTTGTATAAAATATCCAAAATAGGTAAATCCTGAGAGAAAGACAGCAGATTAGTATTACTCGGAGCTAAAGGGATGGGGAGAATGAGAAGTAAGTTATGCTTAGTGACATTGGGCCTTCTCTGGTGGTGGATGAAAATGTTTTTACAACATTGTGAATGCACTAATTGCCACTCGATTGTACACTTGAAACAGTTCATTTTATGTTACGTGAGTTTCACTGCAAAAAGATAAAGCCAAAAGTGAAAATCACAACAAAAGAAATAAAATCCATGGCAGGTGATATGATTTTTTGGGGGGTGGACATGAGGAAAAAGACCCCAAGAAAGGCTTCAATAAAGCTGAGAATTGAGGACCAGAAATTTCTGGAAGATCAAAGATCTGAATAACAAATTGGAATTAGCCTGTGAAGGAGGTGTTCCAAGCCAAGGGGACAATATGTACAAAAGTCAGGAAGGAGAGAGCATGACCTTGTGAGAAACTCTTAAGCATATACAGTTCAGTTCAGTTCAGAACAGAGAATGTTATATGGGGAACTTGGGGTGTGAAAACAGGTGAAGTTGAAGCATTGGCAGGAGGCAAAAGGAAAGGGTCTCATGTGTCCCACTAGAGAATTTGAATTTTATTCTGAGGACAAGGGAAGCCACTGCAAGAAGCAACGGTTCCCAGGGCAGATTTGCACCTCAGAAAGACCACACTGGGGCCAACCCATGGCCTGGTGGTTAAGGCAGCTGGATTCCACATGGTTGACCATGTAGTTCGATCCCAGACCTGGTGGCTTGAGAAACACACAAGAGTACATACATATGCATGCTCAAAATCCCAAAAGGAGGAGAAGAGATTGCAGTGTGATTATTTCTATGGGGGGATGTTTTTTCTATTTCTTGCTCTCTGGTGGGCACATACATCCTCTGGCAAAATTAAAAAACAAAAGTTTCCCTTTATTTATGCAAGAACTGCAGATAGGGAAATCAGTAAGCTCAAGGTGAGAGCTGCAGGAGGCCCAAGCTGAGATAGTGACAGTAGTGGCAAAGAGAAATGATTAGAAGACAAGGTAAATTTTGCGTGATGGGTTCCTGTTTGATATACAAGGGGAAATATTCAGTTGGCCAGTCTCCATGAGAATCTGAAACTCTCATTTACTCAACATATTTTTATGAGTCTATGAATTGCCAACCACTGTAATCAAATGTTGACGAAATCCAGAGAATTAAGGTATAATGATGCAATAAGAGAGACTGGAGAACTCTAAATGGGATCAAGATCTGCCATTAAATGATATTTAAAATGAATTTTAAAATAAATAAAATAAGGGACCAGCAGTTGGCATAATGGCTATGTCGCTGGATTCCCACGTAGATGACCGCAGTTCGCGACCTGGACCCAGTGGCTTAAAACTCAGGCCGGGTGTGTGTGCGTGCGTGCCCAAGATCCCGAGAGGAGAACGAAGGAGAAGGAACTGCGGCATGGCCATCCTCCCTGGGGGGTGATTTCTCGCTTTCTGTCTGTCTCTCTGTCTCTCTGTCTGTCCGGCGAGCACACGCGCCCTATAGCAAAAACCTCTCCAAATAAACAAATAAATAAAATAAAATAAAATGAATTTAAACTGACAGATGAGCGACATTAAGAATATAATCATGAGATTTCAGGAAGAAAATCAATCCAGACAGAAGGAATATATTTGCAAAGGGCCTTAACCAAGTGCAAACTTAGTACTGCTTAAGGAACGAAGGAAGATGTAAGGCTTTGTAATTTGAATAAAGGGCTTACATTTTAAATACTATGGGAAGTCATTGACAAGTTCAAAGTAGAGCAATGAGGTAATCTGACCTCTATTTTAAAAGATTTTCCTCTGGTTAGAGACCTGGCAGTATAGATAGGTAGTCAAAGCAGGATTCAGGAACCAGAAAGGCTTGGGTGTGAGTATTGAGTAACGAGCTGTGAGACCTTTGGAAAACAATTTCATGCCTTCATGTCTCAGTTTCTGTATCTATAAGATGGGGAGACTAATAATTCCTGCTTTACAATATTAAACTAAATGACAATGCAATGTTGCCAGGCTTTTAATGCTCAGTACTATTGAATATTATGAATGATCACTTTATAGTCTGTAGGTTGACAAGGCATACGTGGGAGTCATGAGTAGCACAGCTTCTGAAGTCAAGGAAGGCATGAGAACAGCTAAGGAGAATGTTAGGGAGAAGGCTCAGAGGTGTGCTGTTAGAGGGAAATCTGCTTACTCTTTGTAAAATAGATCATTCATAGGTGGGGAGCTGATACTGTTTCTGTAATGCTCAACAAAGTATTCATCTTGAATATCATTTTGTAAAATACTTTAAGAAAACAGCTCCTGGGGCCAGCAGGTGGTGTGGTGGTTGGAGTGCTGGATTCCCACATGGCCAGGTGCAGGTTTGAATCCTGGACCTGGCAGCTTGCTTTCCCCTGCTTCTATCTCTCACTCTCATTCTCTTTCCATCTCTCTCTGGTGAGTGCCTGTAACAAATTAAATAATAATGATGATGATAAATAAAATAAATAATTCTTAAAAACAAACAACAAAAAATGAAGAAGAAAGCTCCTATCCAAACACGCAGGAACAACCAACTAAACTATCAGTCATAAATTATTTGGGGGTATATAACAAGCATAATTCAAGCTACCCCTTCTTTTGTATTTTTCCAGAAAGAAAATAAAGCAATAAGTGCATAGAATTAGTCTCATTATGTACATATTTCCCATGTATCTTACTGTGATTTTGGAAGAGATGTTAGACTTAAAGTAAGAAAGTAACATTTTTGTTACACAGCTACATATAGCAATATATTTATAGAAAGAGGTGAAGTTTCTGGTGTACAGATTTTTTTGTTTTGGGGTTTTGTTTCTTTCCTTTTTTTATCTTTTTATCTTTTTTTTTTCTTTGCAGTAGGCTGAGGAAAGAAGGAAATTTTTAACAAGATTGCTCTCAAGCTGAATGAACACTTAATATAATTTGCATAAAGTATCTTAGCATCCATATTTAAATTACAATAAAAGCAGCAGTCTGCAATTCACACACACACTCCATTCTACCTAGCAATGCTACTGAAATGCTGATCATCTCTCCTTCATTATAGACAAGTGCCTCCTGAGAGTCCAGCCATATGGTTAGTTCTCATGCCCTATGACCTTCTGGTCCTAAAGGATCTGACTTTCAGCTGTCACTCCAACCCTTACCTGATTGCCCAGCACGGCGGTGGCACAAGCTGTGGACACCTCCTTGGGCCCAAACCACACCGAGGCGATGCGGGAGGGCAAGCCCAGGATGAATACCTGGGCCACGGAGCAGAGGCACTGGCCCAACATGGTGACCCAGAAGAGATGCGGCTGGACACTGCCACACTTGACCCAGGCACCCAGGCAGTTGAGGCCGGAGCCCAGCAGGGCAGTGAGCCGCAGGCCTCTGGTGTCCAGCAGCCAGGTGACCGGGAAGATGAGGGGCACGTAGGCCAGCATGTACACCATGGACAGCCAGTCGATGTGCAGCAAGGAGACGCCGTAGAAGCCCTCGAAGACGTTGCTGATGATGCTGTATTGGATCCACTGGAAGGCGTTCACCAGCGAGTACAGACTGAAGATGAGGAGCACCACAAAGCGCCGCGCGGACAGCGCCGTCCGGGGCAGCGGGGTGCCTTCCGCCCCAGGGGTGACTTCTCCTGGGCCCGTGGGCAGCAGCCAGGCCTGGGTGTCCTCTTCCGGGACCAGCGGAGTCTGCGGCCCGCCCAGGGCTCCCGGGGCGGCCGCGGGGCTCCCCCGGGAAGCCCCATTCAGGGACA